ACTAAAAAAACCACTTGACGAATTGCCGAAGACACCTACTAACCCAAGGAGTGACCATCACACACACAAAAAATAAATGTGTCATTTGGGAGTTGTCGTTGTTGGGATTTATAATTAACCTACAATCAGAGAGCGTTCTAAACTCTATCAATGATGGAACTGAACCCAACGTGGCCCACAGGACTCCCATGACCAACATAAAACACTCGAAGGGTTTGGGGGGCACTGACCTTGAGTTTGGGAGTTGTAGTTCACCTACATCCAGAGAGCACTGTGGACTCAAACAATGATGGATCTGGACCAAACTTGGCACGAATATTCCATATACCCAAATATGAACACAGATGGAGTTTGGGGGAAATAGACCTTGACATTTGGGAGTTGTAGTTGCTGGGATTTATAGTTCACCTACAATCAAAGAGCATTCTGAACCCCACCAACGAAAGAATTGGGGCAAACTTCCCAACGAGTGACCATCACTCATAAAAACACTGAAAAACACAGCAGAAGAGACTCAAAAAGCCAAAAAAACAAAAAAAGTACATTGCAATGATTGCGCAAAGCCACATACATATATACACAAACACACATATACACATATTTACACACACAAAATGCATATACACAGACTGGGTCACAGCAGAGCCTGTAAGTAATATTGCAAGCAGTAGTATGAGTGCCAGAAGGGGGGAAAGGGTTACTCATGAGCAGGAGTCAGATGAAGAACAACAAAGGAAAAGGATCTGGGATGTATTTATGGCACCTACTGACGAAGACTCATTCAAAGGGTTTTCTGGAGACAAAGGGTCAATAAGAGAGGAAGGAGATACAGTGGATGGGAATAGAGGAACAAAAAGGGTTACTCGGGAGCAGGAATCGGATGAAGAGCGTGAGAGGAAGAGAAACAACTGGAAAAGCTGACACAATATAAGGATGTAAAGATCGAACTGCAAAGACTCTGGCACAAGCCAGTAAAGGTGGTTCCAATGGTGATCAGCACACTGGGTACAGTGCCTAAAGACCTTGGCCTGCACTTAAATACAATCGGTACTTACAAAATTAGCATCTGCCATCTGCAGAAGGCCACCTTACTGGGATCTGCACACATTATTCACCGATACATCACACAGTCCTAGACACTTGGGAAGTATCCGACATGTGATCCAATACAACAGCCAGCCAAGTGATCTTGTCTGTTGTGGACTCATCTTTTTTTTAGTATAATTTTTATTACGTTTAATATAAAAGATACAAGAGGGTTGGGGTTAGGGGTTAGGGGTAGGGAGAGATGTATAGACTTACATGTAAAGTGGGAGAACAATATGGTAACAGAGAAGTGGGGGGGGTTAGGGGGAGGTTCCTGGGGTTTCGGCATAGTGGTTTGGTTCTGGGGTTAGTTGCGGTTTGGGGGGGTCCGGGGGGGGGGGGTTGTCGTTCGGTGGGGTTGGTGGGTTGGAGGCCGGGTGGGTTAATGGGGTTGTGGGCGGGTTTGCGGGGGTTAGTTGGCGGCGGGTGGGGGGTGCGGGGTGCGTGGTCGGGTTGGGGGCGGGTTCTGGGGTTGGTTGCCGGTCGGGGTTGGGGTTAGGGGTTAGGGGTAGGGAGAGATGTATAGACTTACATGTAAAGTGGGAGAACAATATGGTAACAGAGAAGTGGAAATGAAAAAGAAAGAAAAAAAAGAGAGAAATATATGTACACTATCAAAAAAAGAGAGAAAAAAACTAGAAAAAATAACACAAGAAACAAGTCTCTTGACTTCCATCCAGACTTCTGCGGGACTACTATTATTGTAACTTAAATATTCGCTAAATTAAGGATGACGGTTCATGGTACTACAAAAAGCGAGGATATGGATCAAAACTTCTTGTGACTTCCTTTCATATTTAATGTCATTATATTGGATTTATTTAAAACACATTTTGTGGACTCATCTTGTTGTGTTTCAAATAATAATTTTTATTTCTTACCACTCCTGTCCTTGTGGCTCAAGGAGGAAAGGAATCCATGGCTGGAATCACTAGGTTGTTGTAGGTTTTTCGAGTTATATGGCCATGTTCTAGAACAGGGGTTCTCAACCTTTTTCATGCTCCGACCCCTTAATACAATTCCTTATGTTGTGGTGACCCCCAACCATAAAATTATTTTCCTTCCTACTTCATAACTGTCATTTTGCTACTGTTATCAATTGTAATGTAAATATCTGATACGCAGGATATATTTTCATTCATCTAGACCAAATTTGGCACAAATACCCGATACGCCCAAATTTGAATACTGGTGGGGTGGGGGTGGGGTTGATTTTGTAATTTGGGAGTTGTGGTTGCTGGGATTTGTAGTTCACCTGCAATCAAAGAGCATTCTGAAGTCTACCAACAATGGAATTGAACCAAACTTGGCACACAGAACTCCCATGACAAACACAAAATACTGGAAGGGTTTGGTGGCATTGACCTTGAGTTTTGGAGTTGTAGTTCACCTACATCCAGAGAGCACTGTGGACTCAAACAATGATGCATCTGGACCAAACTTGGCACGAATACTCAATATGCCCAAATGTGAACACTGGTGGAGTTTGGGGAAAATACCTTGACATTTGGGAGTTGTAGTTGCTGGGATTTATAGTTCACCTACAATCAAAGAGCATTCTGAACCCCACCGACGACAGAATTGGGCCAGACTTCCCACATACAACCTCCAAACCAACAGAAAATACTGTGTTTTCTGGTGGTCTTTAGTGACCCCTCTGACATTCCTTCGTGACCCCTCCAGGGGTCCCGACCCCCAGGTTGAGAACCACTGTTCTAGAAGCATTATCTCCTGACGTTTCACCTGCAACTATGGCAGGCATCCTCTGAGGTTGTGAGGTCTAGAACATGCTTCTAGAACATGGCCATATAGCCCAAAAAACCTACAAGAAGCTAGTAATCCCACAATACCTGCTTTGAACTGGGTTATCTGAATCCACACTGCTATATATCCCAGTTCAAAGCAGATAATGTGGGATTTTGTTATTTAGCTGTATGAAAAGGGCCTAAGTGGTGTAAAAGTGCAGTTTAGATTAATTAGATTAATACATACATGACAGAGGATATATACATGGAGCCTCCATGTCCAGGAGCAGTCTGCCTTCGGAGCCAGTCATTGGGGAGACTGCGGCTTTAACAGTCTCAATGGCTCTCTCTCATGCCTATTGCTCTGCACAAATAAAAGGGCTGAGGCCTTGGAGCTAGGAATCAATTGCAGATTCAAGGAAAGAGGGAGCTTCACTCTCTTAACATTGCTTTTCTCTCTCTATCTCTAGAGGTAGGTTTGCTTTTTTGGGAAGAAAAGGGGTTTCACTGTCCCAATACTATCATAGAAGATCTGGTGGGGGGAAAGGAGATGAACTTGGGTCTATCTTAAGCGGACACGTGTCCAAATCACGTGGGTATGGCTTCTACACGTGTCCAACTCTGAGTGAGACTACTAGAAGCAAGGCAGGAGGGCTTTCCCTTGGGGCTCTTCCACACAGTCCTATATCCCAGAATATCAAGGCAGAAAATCCCACATTATCTGAGTGTGGACTCAGATAACCCAGTTCAAAGCAGATATTGTGGGATTTTCTGCGTTGATATCTTGGGATATAGGGCCCTTGGGATGACAGAAAGAAATGAGGGCCCTTCTAGACAGGCCCTATATTCCAGGATCGAATCCCAGGTTTTCTGCCTTAAACTGGATTATATGAGTCTGTACTGCCAGATAATCTGGGATAAACAGAAAAACTGGGTTCATATTCTGGGATATAGGAGCAGTGTGAAAGGGCCCTGAGATTGTTTGGTTATCAGATGCTTAGTTTTCCATGATTTTGACTCAGTTTTAATGTCTTTATGGATTTAATCTGAATTGTGTGTGTGTTTTTTTTTTAACTATGATGTTTAATACTTTTAAAATATTTGTATACTAGTTATACCGGCCACGTGTTGCTGTGGCCAACCTTCCCTCTTTCTCTTTCAAGTCGTTTCAGACTTAAGTTGATCCTGAGCAAGGGCCGGGTAAATGACCTTGGAGGGCCGTATCCGGTTTGAGGACCCCTGATCTAGATTATCAAAGCAGAGAATCCACTTTATCTGCCTTAAACTGGATTATATGAGTCTACACTGCTAGATAATCCCGTTCAAAGAGATAATCTGGATTTTATATGGCAGTGTAGAAGGGCCGGAGACTAGGATTCGGAGCAATGGATTCAAATTAACTATGTAACAAAATTTGGAAAAAAAATCTGTTCCTAGTTTGAAAATGTGCTGTTTAATTGTGCTGTGTTTACTTTGAGCTCTTCCACACATCCATATAACACAGAATAACAATGCAGCAAATCCTACAATATCTGCAGAATGTATTTCAAAAGTTAGTTCCTATTAATAATAGTATTCACTAAGGCTAGTCTACACTGCCCTATATCCCAGGATCTGCTTCCAGATTATCCGCTTTGAATTGGAGTATATGAGTTTACACTGCCATATAAAATGGGATAAGCAAATATTCTGGGGGCCCTTCCACACAGCCATATAACCCAGAATATCAAGGCAGAAAATCCCACAATATCTGCTTTGAACTGGGTTATCTGAATCCACACTGCCACATATTCCAATTCAAAGCAGAAAATGAGTGATTATATTCAGCTGTGTGGAATGGCCCTGGGATCAGATTCTGGAATACAGGGCAGTGTAGATCCAGCCTAAGGCTCCTTCCACATTGTCCTATATCCCAGGATCTGATCCTAGATTATCTGACAGTGTAGACTCATACAATCCAGTTCAAAGCACATAATCTGGGATCAGATCCTGGGCAGTGTAGATCCAGTCCAAGAGAGAAGTGTATACCTGAGTTGACGTTAACTGAGGCCGATGGATACAAATGAGATGTATGTTTCCCACATAATTTGGGGGCAATCCAGGGGATTTTATAAGAGCTAACGATTCTTCGTTTCTTCCACATTGCAGTCACAGTTTTGAATTAAAAAAATGGAGCCCTTGAGCGTCCCAGCTACTCCAGGTCGAGAGACATTCACAGGTAACTGAAAAAGATTTACCAGTTTGCCTCTTCTCAGTGTTTGCCTATTGTATTTATTTTGCTTATCCCACCTTTCTTTGGGGCTTGAGGCAATAATACACATGACACAGTAATACGTGTTTTTGTAGTCACAACAGTCTCTAGGAGAGCAACAACAAAGCAATGTTTTTTTGATGTTTGAAGACTGCCATTTTATTATGGCATCAGCTTTGATGGGCTTCAAGTAATATTCATGGGGTGTATTGAAAGTCATACCAGGTTACAGCTATGTATACAAATATTATTATTCTCTGCCCAGAAGGTAATGAAATCCTGGAAGTAGAGCAATGGGTATCCTTTTCCAAGCAGGATTCCCGACTATAGTGGTTGAGTGATAACGCAGGCGTCCTTGCCTTTGTGAAATGATTACAAAATTATTCTGATCAAACAAACAACAACAAAACAAACACCCCATAGTTGGCTAAGCTGAAGGAAACAGGTGGGGATTTGAACCTGGATTGCCCCAATTCTGATCAATAATTTCAAAAAGTTGTGAAGTATAGCTTTCTTCCTCCACTTGGCATATTGACTAGGAAGCTATAGGATTGAGAATCCAAAGAAAAGCAACTTTTTCATGGTGTTGAGAAGCAATTTGGTTTTCTTTCTCTCTTTCTCTCTCACACTCATATTCCTTGTAACATACACTCAAGCATATTGATGGACTACCACTCCCGTCTGCCTTGCTGGTGGATGATTGAACAGCGGTCCAGCAACAGTCAGGAGGGTTGTACTTTCACCCTTGCTTCTTTAAAGTCCCATCTACAATGCCATATAAAATCCAGATTATCTGCTTTGAACTGGATTATATGGCAGTGTAGATTCATATAATACAGTTCAAATGAAAGGATGTGGATTATCTGCTTTCATAATCCGGATTATATGGCAGTGTAGATCCAGTCCCAGTGATAATGTTCCTTTTTTAGTGACCGAGTCTTGGAGGAAAAGAAGGATATACATAATGGCCTAGTATCAGGGGCGGCTCAACCCATTACGCAAAGTAAGCATTTGCAGTATAGTTGATTTTGCCCAGGGGCGCTCTTGAGGCGCTCTTGGGGGAAAATAGACCTTCACATATGTGAGTTGTAGTTACTGGGATGTATAGTTCACCTACACTCAAAGAGCATTCTGAACTCCACCAATGATGGAATTGAACCAAATATGGCACACAGAACTCCCACGATGAACAGAAAATATATATCAGTGATTGGGAGGGGGTGAGGGGGGTGCCAAAATACTGTTTGCTTACCATTGAAAATTACCTAGGTCCTCCTCTGGGGCGTATCTGCACTGTAGAATTAATACAGTTTGACACCACTTCAACTTCCCTGTCTCCATGCGATGGAATCCTGGGAGTTTGGGGATGTCACAGCATAACTGGGCAGAGAATAATAATAATAATAATAATAATAATAATAATACTCCTGACCTCACAATTGTGTTAAAAAACAAAGTATGGATCATCGATGTTGCAATCCCAGGAGACAGCAGGATTGGAACAACTGGAAAAGCTGACATGATATGAGGATTTAAAGATTGAACTGCAAAGACTCTGGCACAAGCCAGTCAAGGTGGTCCCAGTGGTGATCAGCACACTGGGTGCAGTGCCTAAAGACCTTGGCCTGCACTTAAACACAATCGGCGCTGACAAAATTACCATTGGCCGGCTGCAAAAGACCACTCTACCCAGATCTCACACATTATTCGCCATTACATCACACAGTCCTAGACACTTGGGAAATATCCGATGTGTGATCCAATACAAAAGCCAGCATAATGAACATGGGAAAATGAACAGAAAATGAACACGTCAAACTACTCTGGGAGTTCCAAATTCAGACTGACAGAATTTTGGAGCACAATACTCCTGACCTCACGATCGTGTTAAAAAACAAAGTATGGATTGTCGATGTTGCAATCCCAGGTGACAGCAGGATTGAAGAGAAACAACTGGAAAAGCTGACACAATATAAGGATTTAAAGATCGAACTGCAAAATCTCTGGCAAAAGCCAGTCAAGGTGGTCCCAGTGGTGATCGGCACACTGGGTGCAGTGCCTAAAGACCTTGGCCTGCATTTAAACACAATCGGCACTGACAAAATTACCATCTGCCAGCTGCAGAAGGCCACCTTACTGGGATCTGCACACATTATTCACAATACATCACACAGTCCTAGACACTTGGGAAGTGTCTGACGTGTGATCCAATACAACAGCCAGCAGAGTGATCTTGTCTGCTGTGGACACATCTTGTTGTGTTTAATAATAATAATAATAATAATAATAATAATAATAATAATATCTTACCACTCCTCTTCTTGTGGCTCAAGGTGGGTTACAACATAGAAAAAACACATAGTCATCATAAACATACAAAATACACATTCTAAAAGGTTCAGGACTACACTATATAGTCTACACTGCTATATATTCCAGTTCAAAGCAAATAATCCAGATTTTATATGTCAATATAGATGGGACCAAAGTCTCATTTTACTGTCCTCTTTGTCTTCCTTTACAAATGCTCAGAACCCCTGCTTTGTACCACACTTCCATTTCTCCCTCTTGCTGTCCCTTCCTACAGCTAGTATCTCCATGTGTCTTCTTATTGATGCCTTCTCTTCCTTCCCTTTTCTTTTAGATGCACATCACGTCATAGGCAACTATGCTTTTGAGCTGTCGCCAGCTCTTGGAGTCACTTCTACCCACTTTGCTGACTCTGTGGAGTTTCTTGGAGGACTTGGGGAGCTCGGAGATGTTGTTTGCTGGAGTGACAATGTGGACCATTGCATCTCCTACCTTAACAAGGTGAGCATCCGTGTTCGCCGGGGCACCTGGAGTTCATATGGTGAGAATTTGGCCTTTGCAATGCAGACATCTCCCATACTCTCTAACTTGTTTTTGCAGGGGCAGTCTTAAGTAATCCTCTGCCTCCCAGTTTCTCCTTCTCCCACTTCCACCTGTCCTCAGTTTATCCAACTCCTGCACACTGAGTTCAAAGTGTAAAAGTGGTTTGCACTCTCTTAACTCAATACAGAGAGGAAGAGGCAGAAGTTTGACTTTCTCAATAGGCTCAGGAAAATTGTAAACTGCTTTATAATGGATGCTCAAGTTCCATTATATATAGTGGTAGAGTAACATTGTGTCCCTTGTATCACACCGGGATTGTGGTGCAGCTGGCTGAGTGTCAGCGGCATTAAGATCGCTCTGATCAGAAGGTCATGAGTTCGAAGCCAGTCCGGGTCGAAGTGAGTGTCTGACCAATTGTGTAGCTTGTTGTTGACCTTTGCAACCCGAAAGACAGCTGCATCTGTCAAGTAAGAAAATTAGGTACCACCTATGTGTGGGGAGGCTAATTTAACTAATTTATGAGGCCATAAAAAAGACTCCAGCAAAGCATGTGGAGAATGCAGAAATACTTCATCAGTGTCGCAGATGGATGATGAAAGTGACAGCTCCCCTGGCGGCCAGAAAAAGTGAAATAGCCTCTGTGTATGTCTATATATGTTGTATGTCTAATTGGCATTGAATGTTTGCCATATATGTGTATATTGTAATCCGCCCTGAGTCCCCTGCAGGGTGAGAAGGGCAGAATATAAATGTTGTAAATAAATAAAATAAATAAATATCAAATGGCAAAATTAAGATTTGCTTTTGGGAATTCGATGAATTGGTTACAGTATGTAAAGCATTTTTTTCCAATTTCCTAATTGGTTCTGTCATAAAACTATGGAAAAAGTTTATTAAACTGCAAAAACTTTGTTTTTGCAGGACATCCTGCAGCACATTTTGCTATGGTTTTTCAATGAATATCTCATTGAGTCTCAACCAAATCAATATAGTTTGTGGCAGGCACAAGCACGTACATTCAGTCATAATTAGAGAAAGATATAAACTCAAACCAACCTTTGTTCCATGTATGCAACTGTTTCTGGAGGATAATCACTACTTTCCAAGAAAGTGACACACAAACAGGAAATAACACTTTCAAAACAGAACAGATTTTGTTTTCAAATTTTGTAATATAGTGTTATTGACTGATTGAATGACTGTACACCTCTGTTACATGCATCGTTCCAATGTTTGCTTGCCTTTTTCCTGAGAGTAAATATAGCCAGAAGGTTTTAAAAGTTTGGTTGCATTTTTAGTAAAATGGAGTATAGCAATAGACTTTGTGAATGAAACTACATTCACTGGATGTCTTTATTAACTGTGTTTCCACTTCCTCCTGTTTGTTTAGGAACTTGTAACACTGGGGTTCCCTGCCCTCTATAAGGATGATGGTTCTGGAGATGGTGTTGAGCATGGCTTTGACCTACTGGCGTTGGTCAACAGCACTACCCAGCTGCTACGCCTCTACCAAGAAGTGACCACTAAACTGGCTGACATGGAAGCGGAGGAGATGCGGCGGGCTGGAGAGCTGGATTATCTGAGGGCACGACATGGAAAGCTCAAGGTTAGAGTTTCCATGCAACTTGTTATAAGGGGCACCTGACTTACTTGCTTGAGCTGTCCCAAGACGTTTTGGGCATCTAAAGTATCAGAAACAAGAAACCCAAATGGCATAATTCTCCTGCATTAGGTGTGTCCAACAGTGCTTGTTGAAATGAACAAGAATTTGTGCAAGAGCACTCTCTGGAGGATTGTGACTTTTAGGACAGGTCACTCTACTTTGTACTCTTTTTTTCCCCTTCCACTAGCTACACCAACCCAGGAAAATTACAAAAAGAAAACGTATTTTCATGCCTGGGGGCATGAAAATTGACTTTTGGACCTCATAAAATTCCCAGTTCCTGTTTCATTTTAAGACAACATATGATAATCTTTCCCCAGATCTGTCCATTGAGTATGGGCATCCTGAATTTGGAAGATATATGCATCATTAGGAACCCTTAGAGTTCTAGATGGCTACCAAAATCAGATTGTATATTACAACTTTGCATGTGGCAGTGGCCTCATCGCTAGAAACATCTATGTTTTTGTGAAAGCATACTTGCTTTGGAGTCAATCTAGCATTTGTGGTGTGTAGAAACTGGGACAGAACATACTTGTTTTTTGGTGGACGTTGACAAAAAGAGTTATGGGGTCGTATTTATTTGTTTATTTACAGTATTTATATTCTGCCCTTCTCACCCCGCAGGGGACTTAGGGCTGATTACAATGCGCATATACATGGCAAACATTTAATGCCATAGACACACAACATATATAGACAGAGGCAATTTAAGCTTCATGAGAGTATTCTCAAATTCCAGCCACTGGAGGAGATGTCACTTCACAGTCCACTTGTGACACCGAGTCCTTGATGGAGTACTTCCTCATTCTTTCACCTGCTGCTGGAGATTTTTATGGTGTTGTAAATTAGTTAAATTAGCCTCCCTGCATGAGCAGTACCTAAATTTCCTACTTGACAGATGCAACTGTCTTTTGGGCTGCAAAGGTCAACAGCAAGCTAGACAAATGGTCAGGAGCTTACCAGGCTGGTTTCGAACTCATGATCTTTCGGTTAGTGATGATTTAATGCAGCTGACTCCTAGCCAACTGCCCCACAGCCCGGTCTGTGTACATTGTTAGCACTCTGTCTTCCTTGTTAGGAATCACTCCACTGAATAATCCCAAATGATTTGCCTGTATTGTGCATTTTTTAAAGGAGGGTGTGTAGTTTTCTGTCATACTCTCTGTAAATGCTCCCCATGATCCTGTTGAGCATAGTCCTGGTGAAGAGGCTACAGATAGGCCCCTTCCACACAGCTGAATAAAATCCCACGTTATCTGCTTTGAATTGAGTTATACGGCACTGTGGACTCACATAACCCAGTCCAAAGCAAATATTGTGGATTATTTATTTTTTTGTCATGTCAGGAGCGACCTGAGAAACTGCAAGTCGTTTCTGGTGTGAGAGAATTGGCCGTTGCCCAGGGGATGCCCGGATGATTTGATGTTTTATCATCCTTGTGGGAGGCTTCTCTCATGTCCCCGCATGAAGAGCTGGAGTTGATAGAGGGAGCTCATCCACCTCTCCCCAGATTCGAACCTGCAACCTGTCGGTCTTCAGTCCTGTCGGCACAGGGGTTTAATCCACTGCGCCATGGGGGCTCCAATATTGTGGATTATCTGCCCTGATATTCTGGGTTATATGGCTGTGTGGATTATCTGCCCTGATATTCTGAGTTATATGGCTGTGTGGAAGGTCCCTTAGTTGAAGGACAGACATCAAGTAGCAACAGGGGAAGCTTTGACCCTTCAAAAGCATTGGACTACAGTTCTCTCAATTCTTTACTGGGTCCTGGGTGGAGCTGATGAAAGTTTTTGGCCAAACGAGTTCCACACCTCAATCTACTTGTTTATCTGTAAATAGATCAAACCTGTGGATTATTAGGTCAATATGATAGCTAGGAGATCTGGGTTTGATAATCCAAAAGCTCTGGTTATAATGAACGGGGTGTTTTAGCTAGTTTGGGTGATTGGTAGAAATTCTTTAGCTTAATTCTCATCTTTCTTTAGCTTAATTCTCATCCTATTTTCTTCCCCTAATATCTGCAGGACCAGGTGGAAGGTTGCGAAAAAGAAATTTCTGCCATAAAGAACAAGGAGCAGCAACTTCAGACCAAGAATGAGCAGCTGTGTGGCCTGTTGAAGGAAGAAAAGAATGAGGTGAGAATGTGGCTGGTACATGTCTAGAGATGGAAGATTCATTTGGCATGCCCACTCCCCCTTTTTTGTTTTGGGGGTTTTTTGTTGTGTCAGGAGCGACTTGAGAAACTTCAAGTCACTTCTGGTGTGAGAGAATTGGCCGTCTGCAAGGATGTTGCCCAGGGGACACCCGGATCCTTGTGCGAGGCTTCTCTCATGTCCCCGCATGAGGAGCTGGAGCTGATAGAGGGAGCTCATCCGCTTCTCCCTGGATTCGAACCTGCAACCTGTCGGTCTTCAGTCCTGCTGGCACGGGGTTTAACCCACTGCACCACCGGGGGCTCCACTCCCCCTGCTGATTAATATGGATTTCAGCCAATAATTTTGGAAAAAAGACTTTTTAGGAACACATCCTCCACACAGTATGGGCAATTCTAGGAGCTATGTCCCATAAACATTAGTTTTCCCACCTCTGGATTTAACCCAATGGGTTTGTAACACCCCCACCTCCCAGCCCCACGAGGCAAATCTAATTGAAACGAATAGCACCAGCACTAGAATACTGTATTGTAACCCATTCAGGAAAACCTTGTATTATTTCATGATGTTTCCTGATGCCAACAGTGAGCTGGATTTCGAATTCTGGAAAGTATCCAGGTTCCAATGCATAATTTGTTTGTTCCAACAGATCACCAAGCTCCAGAATTCCCTCGCAAACCAAAAGCACCAGCACCTTCATGAAATGAAGAGGAAAGAGCAAGAGCTGTTCCGGCTGAAAGAAAAAATGAACCAGCTGCTGACGGAGAGGAGGGACAAGAGAGGAAGTAAATGAGTGGTGTACTAATCAGTGTGTCAAAGTGGCGATGGAGGGGTGTGTGTGAATGTGTGTCTCAGGAGATCCGAGTGTGGTTGTTCTAAAAACTAATCGCAGCACAACGTAAATCCCAAATTCCAGGAAAGGAGATTCCATCTGAACATGAGGAAGAACTTCCTGACTGTAAGTGCTGTTCAGCAGTGGAACTCTCTGCCTCGGAGGATGGAGGAAGCTCCTTCCCTGGAAACTTTTAAACAGAGGCTGGATGGCCATCTATCAGGGGTGCTTTGATTGTATTTTTCTTGCATGGCACAGGTTAGGTCCTCAAACTTTTTAAACAGAGGGCCAGGTCACAGTCCCTCAAACTGTGAGGGGGCCAGGTCATAATTTTTTTAAAAAAAGAATGAATTCCCATGCACACTGCACATATCTTATTTGTAGTGCAAAAAACATTTAAAAACAATACAATAATTACAATGGAGAACAATTTTAACAAATATAAAGTTATTACTATTTCAATGGGAAGTGTGGGCCTGCTTTTGGCTGATGAGATAGGATTGTTGTTGTTGTTGTTGTTGTTGTTGTTGTTGTATGATTTCAAGTCATTTCAGACTTAGGTTGACCCTGAGCGAGGGCCGGGTCAACGACCTTCGAGGACCATGTCCAGACCCTGGGCCTTAGTTTGAGGATCCCTGGGTTAAACCCTTGTGCTGGCAGGACTGAAGACCAACAGATCAGGGGTTTGAATCTGGGGAGAGTGTGGATGAGCTCCCTCTGTCAGCTCCAGCTCCACATGTGGGGACATGAGAGAATTCTCCCACAAGGATGATGTCGTTGTTGTTGTGAGCTTTCAAGTCATTCCAGACTTAGGTTGACCCTGAGCGAGGGCTGGGGAAATGACCTTGGAGGGCCGAGTCCAGCCCCCCAGCCTTAGTTTGAGGACCCCTGGACTAGATAGTCCATGTGGTCTATTCCACCTCTATTATTCTATGAGTCTGTGATTCTAATTTGGAGCGTCTAGATTTAGGGGTGTGATGGGAAAAATGAGAGGATTGCCTACTCAACCTTCTTCCTTGTTGTCTCCAGCAATTGATATCCTCAATGTCCTCCCCCGGCCTGATGGGAAGAGGACAACATGGAAAACTGGAAAATCTCTTGGGAGGTAAGGAATTTGCATTGGCTGATCGCCATCCATTAGCAAGGGGGTGGACCTGGATGAGGATGGCACTGGACAACATTTGCAAGACTGAAGACCCAAAAATGCCAGCGATCAAACCTGGCACTTTCTGTGTACAAGGTGCTTTCATATGGCGCTCTGTGCTTTCTTAACACTTTCCCAAGTGACAGATAAATAATTTCTGCTGTCAACAAAGAGGAAAATGCGAACCTATACCCCCTTTCTTCTATTTTAGAGTCTTGAGTGTTAGAATATATGTTGCAGTCCTACAAGGCCTTTCCTATTTCTTGTGGCACCAAAGGGAGCAGATGTCACTTTGACAACTCTGATGCACGTGGATGCTTAATCTGTTCCAAACCTCCATGCAGACTCGACCTTGGAAAGGCAGGAAACACTGAAGGGGTTCTGTGCGTTCAGTCTTAAAGTTGAGATTAGAATGTGCCCTTAGGAACCTATAGTCTGCATTTGATTTAAATCAGACACATTAAGATAATGTGCTTGGCAAAAATGTAATTCTCTAGAACAGTGTACCTCAACCTGGGGGTCGGGACCCCTGAGGGGGTCACGAGGGGGTGTCAAAGAGGTTTCCAAAGATAATCAGAAAACACAGTATTTTCTGTTGGTCATGAGGATTCCATGTGGGTATTTTGACCCAATTCTATCATTGGTGGAGTTCAGAATGTTCTTTGATTGTAGTGAATTATAAATCACAACAACTAAAACTCCCATTTGTCAAGGTCTATTTTCCCCAGACTCCACCAGTGTTCACACTTGAGCATATTGAGTATTTGTGCCAAGTTTGGTCCAGATCCATCATTGTGTGAGTCCACAGTGCTTTCTGAATATAGGTGAACTACAGCTCCCAAACTCAAGGTCAATGTCCACCGAACCCTTCCAGTGTTTTCTGTTAGCATGGGAGTTCTGTGTGCCCAATTTGATTCAATTCCATCACTGGTGGAGTTCAGAATGCCCTTTGATTATAGGAAAACTTTACATCCCAGCAACTACAACTTCCAAATGACAAACTCAACCTCACCAGTATTCATATTTGGGTGTATTGCGTATTTGTGCCAAATTTGTTCCAGTGAATGAAAATACATCCTGCATATCGGATATTTACATTATGATTTGTAACAGTAGTAAAATGACTGTTATGAAGTAGCAAAGAAAACAATGTTATGGTTGGGGGTCACCACAACATGAGGGACTATATTAAGGGGTCACGGCATTAGGAAGGTTGAGAACCACTGCTCTAGAACAATGGTTAGGGTTAGGGCAAACTAACAGCTGGCAAACTAGCTGGGATTTCTGGGAGTTGTAAGCCAAAACACCTGGGGACCCACAAGTTGAGAACCACTGATTTAGAGGAATTTATAATACAGGTTGAGTATCCCTTATCCAGAATTCCAGAATCCTCCAAAATTATCCACATGGGTGGCTGAGATAGTGACACCTTTGCTTTCGGATGGTTCAATGTACACAGACTTTGTTTAATGCAGAAACCAGTTGAAAATATTGCATAAAATTACTTTCAGGTGATGTATGTAAGGTGTCTGTGAAACACAAATGAATTTTGTGTTTTGACAGGTTCCATCTCCAGGATAACTCTTTATACATGTGTGTGCAAATACAGTCTTCCACAGTCTGGAGGGGGGGGGGGGAATCTGAAATTCAAAGCATTTCTGATCCCACACCTTTTGAATAAGGAATAGTCAATCCGTAATATTTATTTATTTGCTTACTTCATTTCTATCCCGCCTTTCTCGACCTCGGAGGGGACTCAAGGTGGTAATAGAGCATAGAACAGAATAAGAACTAGCTGAGTGAGTAGGAGGACAGAGAAGGTGAGAGGGCAAAACTGTGCATAACTGGCTAAGAAATATTTGACAAGCCGGAGGCGGGAAAATTTACTATTTTGGACTACAGCCACTGTGTAATTCTGGGAGGTATGTGTGAAAGGATAACTTGGGAAGTCTGGCTTGGCCATGGTAGTCCACACTCTGGTTACATCCCGTATAGACTACTGCAACGCGCTCTACATGGGGTTGCCTTTGAAGACGGTCCAGAAGCTTCAACTAGTCCAACGAACGGCACCTAGGTTGTTAACAGGAGCGATGCCCCGGGAGCATATAACTCCTCTGCTGCGCCGGCTCCACTGGCTGCCGGTTTGCTACTGGGCCCAATTCAAAGTGCTGGCTTTGGCCTATAAAGCCCTAAATGGTTCTGGACCAACTTACGTGTCCAAATGCATTTCTCCTTATGAACCATCAAGGACCTTGAGATCATCCGAGGAGGCCCTGCTCTCGGTCTCGCCTTCGTCACAAGTACGTCTGGCGGGGATGAGAGACAGGGCCTTCTCAGCGGTGGCCTCTCGGCTATGGAACGCCCTCCCTAGGGAGATTAAATCTGCTCCCTCTCTCTTAACGTTTCGGAGGCAAGTTAAAACATGGTTACAAGTGTTTACAAATGCAGAGTAACTGATATAGAAAATCTAACGACTTGACGATGGAACTGGACAATGCTTGATAATGAGGTGCTAATGTTGTTGTGTTTTATTGCCTTTGTTGTGTTTTATACTGTTTTAATGTTTTAATCTGTACTATGATATTATGTATACTGTTTTGTTGGAAACCGCCTTGAGTCGCCGATAGGCTGAGAAATGTGGTATACATATACAGCAAATAAATAAATAAATAAATAACTTCGTTAAGCTTTGTCCTATTGTGGTGTAGAAATGGAATATGTTTTAGCTATTAGCGGACTATACTCAAATTTAAACCTCCCTTTCCAAGAAAAATGGTGCCCCAGGAAGTTACGAGGGGTATTTTTTAAGTAAGGTCCGTTTGAACATAAGTACACAATGAAAGTTTATTTCAAAAAAGTAAATTTATTTTCAGAAAGTACATACTTCACTCTATTTTTTGACATAGTTGCCAAGTTTGTTCAAACACTTATCATACCTCTGAACCAATTTTAAAATACCCTCTTCATAAAAACTTACCGCCACCAAAAGCCACCAAATCGTCTGTAATCAAAGAAGGGCGACCGGAGCGGTCCTCATCATGGACGTTGTCACGGCCATCTTTGAATTGTCGTACCCACTTACGCACTTTGCTTTCACTCATAACAGTATCACCGTACACTTCACAAATCTGTCGATGAATTTCTGCAGCAGGCAGGTTCCTTGCTGACAAAAACCGTATCACTGAGCGAACCTCACATGCGGAGGGTGAGTTGATAGTCTTAAACATTTTTAAAGCACAGAACAGAACCGTACAGGTTAGCTACAGAGCAGAAACTAAGCACAGTTGTTCCCGAGGCATGCCGGTACACGACACACGCGCTCGTTGCGGTATGTGCGCGAACTACTAGTGTCTACAACAAAATGGACCTTCCTTAAAAAATACCCCTCGTATTTCTTTGTGTCTCTGCTTTGTAGAAAGGAGGAAGAGCTCTTCCGGACTCAGTTGGCCAAGCAGGAACGGCGGGAGCAGACCTTGGCTTTAGAGAATGCCAAGCTGAAGCAGCTGTTGAAAGAAGTGGGCCAGGATATGGAGCAGCTGTTGAGCAAGGATGTGAGCCAAGCCCAGGTGAGGCCTTGGAGTGACAACTATAGCAGCAGTGACAACAATTGCATCTCTTGCCTTGTCTTCCTTTGACTTTGGGAATATTCAGCTGCTGTCTTCTTTTCCCAAGGGCATGGAGCAAAGCTCTCCATACGAGGTCTTCCAAGAACAGTGGTGCAGCCTCAGAAATCACCTGAAGACCCTTGGTTACCAAGGTATGGTTTGGAGATTTTTAGGGATGTGTGCGCTTTTCCCTTTTAATAGTGGGAAGAGACCGTTCAGCTTGGTGGTCTAATTCAGTTACAGAACACAAGGGGCTACATTCTAGTTGTGGGCAAGGCCAAAGGCAAAAGAGCCTCCGGTGGCACAGTGGGTTAAACCCCTGTGCCAGCAGGACTGAAGACAGACAGGTCGCAGGTTCGAATCCAGGGAAAGCGCGGATGAGCTCCCTCTGTCAGCTCCAGTTCCTCATGCGGGGACAAGAGAGAAGCCTCCCAGAAGGATGGTAACACATCAAAAACAGCCAGGCATCCTATGTTGATGTTGAAGGTGTGGTAGGTTACAAAGTCAACAGGTGAAAGTGCTCTATTGTCTCAAATCACCTTAAACCACTGAATACTACCTTGTGAAGTTGTGTAAATACAGTCATTAAAATTGCATTTTGACGAAGTGTATGGGTTCAAAATATGCATGCTAGTTCATAGCACTTGCAAACAACCTTGTAAGCAGCATGGAGGCATATAATCTGTCTGATATACTCTGATCTCAAAAGTTAAGCAAGGTCAGGCCTGATTAGTACTTGTAAGCAAACCAACAAAGAGTCTCAGTTGCTATAGGTTGTATTCAGAGAAAAGCAGTGTCAAATCCCCTCTTGCATTTTCATTGCCTTGAGTATTTATGGGGTCACTGTAAATCAGTGGTTCCCAACCTGTAGCCTGTGGACCACCAGTGGTCTGCAAGAACTAAAATATAGTCTGTGTTCCACTGTTACTACACTGTTGCAATGAGAGTGACTCGTCTCACGAAACTGTCTTATAGTGCTGAGACTTATTAAATATGGTTTTCTGTGGGCACACAGATGGCAACTACTGGATGCCATATGTTCTGTATGAGAAACTAGAGCTGATGTGGTCTATCCAATGCAATTTTCTGAATCAGCACCCCAAATAACCAAACCGAATCTAAGGTTGACTAAAAACCGATTCATAAACCTTTTGGTACTAATGTTGGAGAGTGGTCCCTGGTCAAAAAAAGGTGGGGAAACCACTGCTGTAAATCAACAAGTGACTTTAAATATGTTGATCCCATTTTATAAACAGGGAATAAAAGGTAAGAATAGTAGCTAAATCAAGCATAAAGGAAGCAGGGTTTTAAACTTAACTAAAGTTTGATTTTTTTTTATCGCATCTTCTGTTTTGAATAGTGATTTTTTGACAGCATGGTATGGTGATTAGGGTATGGACTGTGATTCTAGTGTACTTTTTGTATGGCCTCAAGCCATTTCTGACATGGTTGACCCTAAGGCAGTGTTTCTCAACCTTCCTAATGCAGCGATCCCTTAATACAGTTCCTCATGTTGTGGTGACCCCCAACCATAAAATTATTTTTGTTGCTAATTCGCAACTGTAATGCTGCTACTGTTATGAATCATAATGTAAATATCTGATATGCAGGATGTATTTTCATTCTCTGGACCAAATTTGGCACAAATACCTGATAATCCCACATTAGAATACTGGTGGGTTTAGGGGGGATTGATTGTTTTTGTCATTTGAGAGTTGTAGTCGCTGGGATTGATAGTTCACCTACAATCAAAGAGCATTCTGAACTCCACCAATGATTGAACTGAACTTGGCACACAGAACTCCCATGACCAACAGAAAATACTGGAAAGATTTGGTGGGTATAGACCTTGAGTTTGGGAGTTGTAGTTCACCTACATCCAGAGAACACAAACAATGATGGATCTGGACCAAATTTGGCACAGATGCTCAATATGCCCATATGTGAACACTGGTGGAGTTTGGGAAAAGTAGACCTTGATATTAGGGAGTTGTAGTTGCAGGGATTTATAATTCACTTAAACCAAAGAGCATTCTGAACATCACCAACGATAGAATTGGGACAAACCTCCCACACAGAACCCTCATGACTAACAGAAAATACTATGGTCTTTGGTGACCACTCTGATATCCCCTCACGACCCCTCTGGGGGTCCCGACCCCCAGGTTGAGAACCATTGAGCCCTAAGGTGAAACTTTTTTGAAGCTAAGAGAGTGTGACTTGCCCAAGGTCACCCAATTGGTTTTCATGGTGGAGCAGGGATTTAGAGACTAGCATTCAAATTCCTGCTCAGCCATGGAAAATCACCCTCTCTCTGTCTCAGGGGAAAGCAAAAGCAAATCTGCTTTGAATGACTCTGGCCAAGAAAACCCTGTGATAGGGTGTCCTTGGAGAAATGACTGTATTTTGCAAAGGCAGATTCCATGCATGGCCTCTTAGAAATGCAATGTTGGAGGCTCTGCACTGAGGGGCCTCTTGTATCTTTCCTTCCACAGCTGTGATGACTGATGGCTCCCGATTTTCAAAGGGCGAGGGGCAAGACCCTGTCATCAGCGGAACAGACCATGACAAAGAAATAATAAAGCTAAAGAGAGAGATTGAAGAGAGCAGGGCTCAGATGGCACAGCTGCAGCAGTGTTTCCAGGTAAAGGAACACTTCTGGGTTCTTTTCACATCGCCCCCTAAGTGGCCTGTTTGATTTAGACCAGGGCTATTTGAATATGCACTTATGTTGGTAAGGAGCAAGGAATGATCCAAGGACTTCAAATCTTTGTTCCTACCTTTTGACCAGTAGAAGTTCTACTTCCCAGTTTTAGGATGTGCTCACAAATCTTAGCAATTGGAAAGACTAGAAACTTGAAAGCCGGGGTTCTTAGGTGCTGGATCTGTGTGTGCTTAAAGAGTTGCAAAAACTATACACACAAAACTCCCTTCCCCAAGCTCTCAATGCCCAATATGGGACTGATCTGTTCTGACCTCCATACCACCAGTGAAATCAAGTGACCCTTTTGTATATATCAGACCATTTTTGGAAGGAAAAAACCCTCTTGTGTACAGAAGCATTGACACTCCAAAAGTTATTGGTCTTCCAACTCTCAGAAATCTCGAACAGCATATCCAATGGTAACAGATTATGAAGATTGCACTCCAAGGCTGTTGGAGACATCCCACTTCTGCTCTGTATGTGAAGGTTCCCCATTCCTGCTCACTCTTTCTTAATACTGTGTGTCCTTCCCCAAAATAGTATCTCCACCAAATTGAAAAACTATTTCAGACCCCAATTATTTATTTATTTATTATTTGTTTCATATATTTATATCCCGCCCTTCTCCCCACAAGGGGGACTCAGCGCGGCCTCACATGAGCTTCTGAGAAGGGCGGCATATAAATATTGTAAATAAATAAATACTATCTAGTCACTTATACTCTGTCAAAAACCTCTTCAAGGAACAGAATGGGATTTTAGAAGAAAAGATGGCTCTAGAGAAGGGGAGCATGGGGATGAAAGAAAATAAAGGACGCAGGAATGTACAGTCATAAGAATGGCAAATTTATTTATTTATTATTTGTTTCATATATTTATATCCCGCCCTTCTCCCCACAAGGGGGACTCAGCGCGGCCTCACATGAGCATCAGAGGATGCTAACAGCATAAATACCATAAAAATTACAATTCACAATAAAATCATTTAAAACATTGTATAACATCATCAACAAGAACCTAATAAATTAATAGATTAATGTGCCAGTAAAACCAAGCCGAGCCGGGAGAATCCATGTCGCAAAATCCAAATTTCCTTTTCCTATTGCTGCTGGCCTCTAATCGAATGCCTGGCCCCAGAGCCAGGTCTTCAGTTGTCTTCTAAAGGACAGGAGGGAGGTGGCCAACCTGATGTCCTTAGGGAGAGTTCCACAGATGGGGGGCCACTGCCAAGAAGGCCCTGTCTCTCATCCCCACCAACCGCGTTTGCGAGAGTGGTGGGATCGAGAGCAGGGCCTCTCCTGATGATCTTAAGCTTCGTGATGGTTCATAGCAGGAGATACGTTCGGACAGGTAATCTGGGCCAGAACCGTTCAGGACTTTAAAGGTTAAAACCAGCACTTTGAATTGTGCCCGGAAGCTAATCGGCAGCCAGTGGAGCTGGCGCAACAGAGGAGTGGTACGCTCCCTGTACGCAGCTCCATTTAACAACCTGGCTGTCGACGGCTGGACTAATTGGAGCTTCTGAGAAGTTTTCAAAGGCAGCCCCACGTAGAGAGCGTTGCAGTAGTCTGTCCGGGATGTAACCAGAGCGTGGACCACCGTGGCCAATTATCCTCAAGTCTGCAATTGTTTAGTTGCCTCTCAGCATCTTTTCCACCATATCATACGGTATTTCAAAAGGTTATTTTGTTCTGCCCAACATCTCCATAGAATACGTAGAATGAGAGCAAAAGAGATGCTCCTTGTGCTAGTGACTTGATCTAGAATTTGGTAATTTCATGAGCATGGAATATTTACCCAAAACATGTATACCTTCTCTTTTTTCTACACACCCAGCACAGATGACATAAAGCAAAACTCGAACCAGTTTTTAAAAAACAGTTTGGCAACAGTCATAAAACACTTTAAAAGAAGTCATAGCAGAGTGTAAACACAACCAGTAGAAATAATGAAATCCTTTCAAACGAGCAACGGTTCATTGTCTGAAAGCTTTTTTTTTACAGCACCACCTTACAGAAGGCTGTTGGAGGTTGAGATGTGTCATCTCTAGGAAAGCATCTCAGAGCCTGAGCACAATTAGCATAAAGGCTCAAATTAGGCATCCTTCTGAGATTATTAGGATGTGCAAGAGGGCTTCTAACAGTCTCAAGTAGGTGGACAGGTTAACATGAGAGGAAGTAGTCCTGCCAGGATCATGGTCTTAAATAACGAAGAACTCCCAGGTCAACACCAGCATTTTGAGTTGTACCTAGAAATTGGTAGCCTGTATAATTGTTTCAATAAGGAAGCAAAGTTAAAAATCAGAATTCAGTGTTTCACTGTATATTAAGAGAGGAGGAGGAGAAGAGGTGTATGCATGTTTGGCGGGATTTTAGCCCCAAACCATGTAAAATGCCTTTTCAATGCATGCAAATACTCCACCCACAAATACTTCATTTGTTTTCAAACACTATCTCAAAACAGTGACATCATGTCATGTTGTCATTTTTGAGAAGGACCCCAACGAGGAAAAAACACATTTTGGTGCATGGGGTTGACACTGAGGTGGAGTGAATTGACTCTCTCATAGACCATGCAGTTGTCCATAGCATTGGAATTACACAGCATTGGAGAGGAGATGACACCACATAGGCACCCTACAAGGACCATCTTCCCAGAGATAACTGCAGCCACTGCTAAACCATGGTACCCACTTCCATTCTGGAAAGCTGGACTGGAATTGTACTGTGTCCTGTGGTGTCGGAAGCCATTGCGAGTGCCAGCGAGGACACACTCTCACTTAAACTGTTCCTGTCGTACATCATTCACCAATACACCTGAACCTGTTTCTATTCCCAAACCATATTTATAGCCAGACAGAAATTGATCTTAATCTGGTGTGGAAATTATATAGTCTGTAGCTTTCACATGGCCTTTGGAAGTCCTGTGTGTCTCTGTTACCTCCTGGTTTACCCATGTCTGGGAGGGGGCATACCAAAGTCCTGTGATTTTTAGACATGTGTGTTTCTATTTCTGTATTATTGCCTTTGATGCACCATCGTGTCACAAGATGGCAGAAGTGTGATATTATGATAAGAAAACACTGCTAATGGCCCTTTTACTCTGTAGGCAAACCCACCTCCAATTTAAATAAGCTATAATATTGTTGAGATGGG